CACCCCGGAGCACCAATTTTTTTTTAAAATTTTTTTATGAGGACCTCCGTAATGAGTTTGGGGAACTACCACGTATACTCAAACTATTTTTTTTTCACGCCCATTTTCGCATTTAAAGGCCTTCTATTTTTAGAAATTATTCAAATTCTACGATATATCATGTATTATATAGCCCATGGATATGGCACTCCGGAGCTCCCAAAATATTCTTTTCAAAAAGCTTTATTAGGACCTCCGTAATAAGTGAAGGAACAACCACGTAAAGGCACACCATTTTTTTCACGCCCATTTCCGCATTTACATGCCATTTTTTAGGAATACCCAAATTCTTCAGTTTTTCATGTTTTACAGCCCATGGATCAGGTGCCTCGGAGCACCCAATTTTTTCTCTCACAAAACTCTATGAGGACCTCCTTAATGAGTTGGGGAACCACCATGTATACTCACATCATTTTTTTCATGTCCATTTCCTTCTTTACAGGCTCCTTTTTAGAAATTATTTAAAATTTCTCAATTTTTTGTGTGTTATGGCCTATGGATCTGGCGCTCCCAAGCACCCAATTTTTTGTTTCTCAAAAAACGTTTTGAGGACCTCTGTAATGAGTTGGGGAACCATCAAGTATACTCACACTATTTTTTCATGAATAATTTCGCATTTACAAGCCCTTTTTAGGAATTGCCCAAATTTGTCTATTTTTCGTGTGTTATCCCATGGATCTGGCTCCCCGGAGTACCCAATTTTTTTTCTCAAAACACATTATGAGGACCTATGTTATGAGTTGGGGAACCACCACGTATACTCACAACATTTTTTTCACGACCATTACCGCATTTATAGACCTTTTTTTAAATTACCCAAATTTCTCTATTTATCTGTGTTATATAGCCTATTGATCTGGCGCTCCCAAGCACCCAATTTTTTTTTCTCAAAAAACTTTATGAGGACTTTCGTAATGAGTTGGGGAACCAACACGTATACTCAAACCATTTTTTTCACGCCTATTTCCGCATTTACAGACCCTTGTTTAAGATTTACCCAAACTCCTTGATTTTTTCGTGTATAGCCCATAGATCTGGCTCCCCGAAGCACCAATTTTTTCTTTCTCAAAAAACTTTATGAGGATCTCTGTAATGAGTTGGGGAACCACCACGTATACTCATACCATTTTTTCACGCTTGTTTCCGCATTTACATGCCCTTTATTTAGAATTACCTAAATTCCTCTATTTTTTGTATGTTATAGCCTATGAATCTAGCACCTCAGAGCACCTAAATTTTTTTTTCAAAAAACTTTATTAGGACCTTCGTAATGAGTTGGATAACCATCACATATACTCACACCATTTGTTTCACGCCCATTTCCACATTTTCTGACCATTTTTAGGGTTTACACAAATTCCTCTATTTTTCGTGTGGTAAATCCCATGGATCTGTCGCTCTGAGCACCCAAAAAAATAAACTTTATGTGGATTTTCGTAATGAGTTGGGAAACCACAACGTATACTCATACTATTTTTAGGCACATTTCCGTATTTACAAGTCTTTTTTAGGAATTACCCAAATTCCTCATTTTTTTCGTGTGTTTTAACCCATTGATCTGGCGCCCCGGAGCACCCAAAATCTTTTCTTAAAAAACTTTACGAGGACCTTCGTAATGAGTTGGGGAACCCCTACGTCTTCTCACACTATTTTTTTCACGCTCATTTCTGCATTTAAAGGCCTTTTTTTTAGGAATTATCCAAATTCCACAATATTTCATGTATTATAGCCATGGATCTGGCGCCTTGGAGCACCCAAAAAAATTTTCTCAAAAAAATTTATAAGGACCTCTGTAATGAGTTGGAGAACCCCACGTATACTCACACCATTTTTTCATGCTCATTTCCACATTTATAGGTCTTTTTTTTTCTAGAAATTACCCAAATTCCTCAATTTTTTCGTGTGTTATAGCACATGGATCTAGTGCCCTGGAGCACCAATTTTTTTTACTCAATAAACATTATATAAGACCTTCGTAATGAGTGATGTTTACGTGATCAAGACACAACTTTCAATGCAAGTGTCTACGATCGTACAATAGTAAAGTAACCTAACCAAGGGTTGGGATCGAGTCTCAAGGGAGTGGGCTTGAGAATTAATAGAAAAATAAAATTTAGTTATAATTAGTCATAGCTAAAAACATTATCGAATGTAAGCATGTTAAATCTGAGGGGTGATGCAAGCGTCAATTATCAATGGGGGTTTGTGACAAATAAGCAAAAACAACAAAAAATGCAAAGAGTACTAATCAAGGAGACGATATTCGTTGGATGTGAGAGTAATATGGGATAAACTAAACTATTGGGTACATGCTTTTGATAATAAATCTGTCGAATATTTGTGACTAGGATAGACTATAGTGGGGGTAAATTCTCTCTCGAGCAACTTACCTAGAATCAAATGGGTTCCTTTCGGACACCCACTTGTTGTATGAAGAACAACCTCCGCCTTAGCCCACTCACTCTCTCAAGCTGAGTGTGTGGGAGAAGGACTAGGGTTCACTCTCTCGAGCTGAACATCATGTCGACCCAATCCCACCGGCCATCAATTTAGTAGTCTTAGTTGTACGACCTCTCTCTTGAGCAAGCCGAAAGCACAAAGGTGAAATCGTATTTGCAACTACAATTTCATTAAGTTCCACCACAACTACTAAACGAAATCACATTTACACAACAAATAAACCATCAACAAGCAAGACCCAACAGATAATCTAACTCATATTTACAAAATCACACCCCAAGAATTAGGGTTTTAGTTAGGCATGCAAAAGAGATTGAAATTTATACCAAAATGAGTTTGCATTCAAATGGGTATGAAGATTTAAGTCTCAAAACAAGCAAAGAATGAAGAATCCACAAGACCCAAGTCCAAATTCTTAGAGTTGAAACCCTTTGAATCTTCAAGTTCTTCAAAACCCTCTCCAACTTAGAACTCAAAAGTCTATGTTAAAAATTCTATATTAAAAATCTGATATTAAGCTACAACTCTCAACGAGTATTTATAGTTTTCAATAATCTGTGATGTAGCGGATCATTCGGCGTCATTAGTCGAGATCGCCAATCAAGTTGGCGATCCACCCTTTGGTAGGTTTCATTGCCGTCTTGCTCTATCCTTCAGCATCATCGTATTTTAGATCATTGGGTGACCTAGTATTGCTTCACGAAACTGCTCGGCGACACGCCGACTGCTCCTTTTCACCGCCGATTTGATCCTCTCTTTCAGGGCTCAGCACACTAGAACAAAAGGCGAGGATAAGACCTTTTGGCGATTCGTCGAATGGGTTCGATGATTCTCAGATCTTCATTTCTTCATTCTTTCAGCTGCCTTTGTTCCTTTTGTTGCTAAGTAGTGTCCATACTTTCCCTCAAACTCCAAATACCTGAAACTTAATGGTTTTTATCAGATATTGAGATAAAATATGCATTTGAGGACACTAATTCTATCAAAATATAGCCCTAAATGAGTCCAATTTGTGGACTCATCAACACCCCCAACTTAAACTTTTACTTGTCCTCAAGCAAACTAAAGTTCAGCTGTTCAAAAAAGGTATCTCGAACAGTGCTACACAAGATTCAATCATGAATGCACACAACAAGACTCAATTTACTTATGCAAATATCAAATGTGCACTCAAAGATTCAATTTGTGACTCACCAATATCAAAAAATCTCATGCTCACAATACTTGCTTCAAATGCAAGTTCAAGCTCAACCAAAGTGTTCAAATGCCTTCATACAAGGAATGATTCCATATTCACACACAATGGTTTAATCATTTAAAGTCCTGGAATCAAATGCAGCGCTCACTCTCACAAGGAAGAACACAATGCATACTTTCACCCATAGGGTTGCCCGTATTTTCCGATCAACACTTGCTTCAGCTCACTCAAGATCAAGAAGGTCTTTTCAAGACTTGTAATGGGGCTGAGTGCAAAGGTATAGTCATTTAGGCTCAGTGACTTTCATCCTCAGGAAATGTGGTACTCACAACACTTCATTTCCTCTTCCTTCATCATTTTCTTTAGTGCTCATAAGTCATCCTATTATTCACTTTCCATGAATTATTTGGAAACCCCATTTCTTTTTGTAATTTATTCCACAACTTTCTTTTTCATTCTTTTTCTTTTTCTTTCTCTTTGGCCATTCAATCAACCACAAATCAAGAGGATTATAGATAGCGGATTAAGAGAGGTTTAGTTTTCATCAAGTTTCTTCCAAAGAAAGGTAAGGCTCAAGGGGTGTTCAAAAGTGGTTTACACACTCACAAAGTAGATCACAAAAGAGGTATATGTCAAATTAGCTCACACTCTTAGAAGTTGTCTAAGATCATATCAAGAGATAACATCACTTAGTTGACCGGACCAACGGGTCAAATTCTAGGATCCATCATACAAGTTCACAGGTAAGCTCATCACACTAGGCATTGACACTATAAGTCAAACAAGACTTCACACTTTTACTAGTGTGCAATGATTATCACAAGAGACTCAATTTGATAATAGGCTAGTCATAACGAGATACAACGAGTTCACATATTGTCTATGTGACTTCATTTGGCCTCATCGTAGCCGCGCATTCATATTCGTTCAATTGAGAGCACTATTTAAGTCATCCGTATTGATCGGAACCGATACTTAAATTTTGCAAAAGAACAGCCAGATTCAATACACGAGAGGTGGCAAAAATTTTCGGACGGGTCAAAATCATTTTGCAATTTAAAATAAAAGGAGTCACAAGCTCAAACATCCATAGAAAACAGTGTAAACATAATTTAAACAAAACAACCCAAATATATACATAAAAACACAAGGCACAAATAGCACACAAAAGGTGAGCCTCACCCCACAACAGATAAAAAGTATTTGTCCTCAAATGCAAATGACACAAAATCTGAAATGTAAAATAAAAAAAGACAGAGAGGGAGGTAAAGAGAAATCCTGTCTATGCAGTCTCTTCATCTGTCTAGGCTTCAGTGCCCGGAGTAACCCTAGAAGGAACAGCAGTGCCAGCTTTACCAAGGTCTGTTGATTGTGAGTCTTCCAGAAAGACATACACCGCTCTGCAAAATCCCCTTGCCCATGGAGGAGTATTAGGATCTAGAGTGATATTTTTCCTGGCAGGAGTGGGCCTCTTGCCCTTGCCTTTCCCAATAGTTGTGGGTAGTTTCAAAGCTTTTCTTTTCGATGTAACCGCATCTTCCTTTATCGCAATTCCTCTGGACTTCTCTTGGGCTGGCGTTATTCTTTCAGTAACTTTAGGTTTAGTCATATCTGCAAAATCTCGAAAAGAAGTTGGAGAAAATTTTGACAAAAGCACTGATAAACTTCGCCGACTCTTTCGGCGAGTCGTCGATATCATTCGGTGATCTAGAGGTAGTCCGCCGAAAGTTACAAAATTAACAGCACATTTATCATTAAATTAAAGGCGAGATGGGGATGTTAGGTGAACCGCCAAGTTGTTTGGCGAGCTCGACCCAGCTCTCCAAACGGCTCAACGTACCTATTTTCAACCCATCTTTTTGAATTCAACCATGTAACCCCTGAAGACAAAATCAAAGTGTGCACTAGTACAATCAAGGTATGACCCTTCAGCTTTGTTGAGAATACGTGAGAGTATATCCTCAAACCTACCACCTTCCAAGTCCTTGGGCTTTTGGCGCTCATGGGGAGGCACATATTTATCTTTCTCCCCATCCTTCCAAGTCGAATTACGGTCCCTCCATTAATGATCTCGATCCTTCCAGCCTTCGTCTCTAGCCCATCCTTGGTTACCACCCTACCTTGGGTAGTTTGAACGATAGCCACCGCCTTGGTTGGCTAGAAAATTTACCTCCTCGTTATACAAGGCTTCAAACTTCATCTCCTCAGGCTAGAAAATTTACCTCCTCTTGGCCATATTTTGGTCTCTCTCATGATCTTTTTCAATCTGCTCCTTAGATAGTTTGAAGGTGAGAGGAGAGACTTGATCCTCGCGACTGTACCACGCTCTGTTGATGGTTGTCATGCCATCTAAAAGTTGGGCTGCTACTACATATGGCTGTTGCATTAAGCCTCTAGGCGAAAGTTGAACAGTGACCCCTTTGTTTACCGAGTCTAAACTCCGATAAAAGTACTGAAGCAACACATTATCAGGCAAACCATGGGTTGGGCATTGAAGCACCAACTTTTTGAACCGTAACCAAGTTTCGTGCAGAGGTTCTCCTTCTAGATGCTTAAAGCTCTGAATGCTATCCCGAAGGGTCATCATTTCCGAGGGAGGGAAAAATAGCAGTTGAAATACGGTTACCAATTCCTCCTAGGAAGTGATGGATTCACGCGGCAACTCGGCTAGCTATTTGCACAACTCTCCATCAATGAGAAAAAGAATAATCTTAATCGGATTGACTCCTGAGATATGTTTTTGAACGAGAACGGTCTGCATACATCCACGAAGTTCTGAAGATGCTCTTGAGGATCCTCGTGAGCCAACCCGCTGAAAAGTCCCTTTCGTTGCAACATAGTACTCGTTATGTGGAACACTGCATTTCCTTCAGCTATAGGTAACCGAATAGCTCCAATACCTCCCATGAGATGGGGACCATTGATGTTGGGCTCATGGACATTGTTGAGATTTATGATATCGTCTTGGTGGCCCACTAGCTACCGTTAACACTTATGCTTTCTGAAATAGTCACATAAGAAAACAAAACTAAACTAAAGATTAAGTGAGTAAACTACAACTAAGAAGAACAAAAATTCTACTAATATAAGAATTCTCAAATAACACCACTCCTCGGTAGAGGCGGCATTTTGATGTTTGCGTAATCAAGACATAACTTTCAATGCAAGTGTCTACGATCATACAATAGTAAAGTAACCTAACCAAGGGTTGGGGTCGAGTCCCAAGGGAGTGGGCTTGAGAATTAATAGGAAAAAAAATTAAGTTCTAATTAGTCATAACTAAAAACATTATCGAATGTAAACATGTTAAATCTAAGGGGTGACGCAAGCGTCAATTATCAATGGAGGTTTGTGACAAATAAGCAAAAACAACAAAGAATGCAAATAGTACTAATCAAGGAGACGGGATTCTTGGGATGTGATAGGAATACTGCATAAACTAAACTATTGGGTACATGATTTTGATAATAAATCCGTTTAATATTTGTGACTAGGCTAGACTATAGTTGGGGTAAATTCTCTCTCAAACAACTTACCCCAAACCAAATGGTTCCTCTCAGACACCCAGTTGCCACATGAAGAACAACCTCCGCCTTAGCCCACTCACTCTCTCGAGCTGAGTGTGTGGGAGAAGGACTAGGGTTCACTCTCTTAGTTGAACCTCATGTCGACCAAATCCCATCGGCCATCAATTTAGTAGTCTTAGTTTTACGACCTCTCTCTCTCTCGAGCAAGCCGAAAACACAAAGGTGAAATCGTATTTGCAACTACAATTTCACTAAGTTCCCTCACAACTACTAAACGAAATCACATTTACATAACAAATAAACCATCAACAAGCAAAATCCAACAGATAATCTAACCCATATTCACAAAATCATACCCCAAGAATTGGAATTGGACCAATTTCTCGATTTTTCGTGTGTTATAGCCCATGGATATGGCTCCTTAGAGCACCCAATATTTTTTTCTAAAAAAACTTTATAGTGGACCTCCGTAATAAGTTAGGGAACCATCATGCATAATCACACCATTTATTCACGCCCATTTCTGCATTTACATGCACTTTTTTTGGAATTGCCCAAATACCTCTATTTTTCGTGTGTTATAGCCAATGGATTTGGCACCTCGGAGCATCCAAATTTATTTTTTCTCAAAAAACTCTATGTGGACCTCCGCAATAAGTTAGAGAACTTTCACGTATACTCACACAATTTATTTCACACTCATTTCTGCATTTACATGCCTTCTTTAGAAATGATCCAAATTCCTCGATTTTTCGTGCGTTATAGCCCATGCATCTGGCATACTGGAGCACCCAAATTTTTTTTTTCTTAAAAAACCTTATGAGGACCTCCGTAATGAGTTGAGAAACGACCACATACTAACGTCATCTTTTTCACACCCATTTCCACATTACAGGCCCTTTTAAGGAATTATTCAAATTCCTCGATTTTTTGTGTGTTATGGCCTATGGATCTGGCGCCTTAGAGCACCCAATTTTTTTCTCAAATAGCTTTATATTGGACCTTCATAATGTGTTAGGGAACCACCACGTATACTCACACCATTTTTTTCACTCCCATTTGCGCTTTTAGATGCCTTTTTTTAGGAATTGCTTAAATTCCTCTAGTGTTCGTGTGTTGTAGCCCATATATCAAGTGCTCCGGAGCATGCAAAGTTTTTTTTCTCAAAAACTTTTTGAGGACTTCCGTAATGAGTTGGGGAACCGCCACGTATCTACCACCATTTTTATGCCCTTTTCCGCATTTACAAGCCATTTTTTTGGGAATTACCCAAATTCCTTTATTTTCGTGTCTTATTGCCCATGGATCTGAAGCCTCGGAGTACTCAACTTTTTTTTTCTCAAAAATTTTTATGAGGACCTCTGCAATGAGTTGATGAACCACCACGTATACTCACGCTATTTTTTTCACGCTTATTTCCGCATTTACAGGCCTTTTTTAGGAATTATCCAAATTCGTCTATTTTTCATGTGATATAGCTCAATGATCTAGCGTCCTTGAGCACCCAATATTTTTTTCCTCAAATAACTTTATGAGGACTTCCGTAATGAGTTGGGAAATTGTCACGTATACTCACACCTTTTTTTATGCTTATTTCCGTATTTACAGGCCCTTTTTCAAAACTACCAAAATTCATCGATTTTTCATGTGTTATAGACAATGGACCTGGCACCCCGAAGCACCCAATTTTTTTTTCAAAAAACTCTATGAGGACCTTCGTAATGAGTTGGGGAGCAACCACGTATACTCCTACCATTTTTATCACACACATTTCCGCATTTTCATGCCCGTTTTTAGGAATTACCAAAATTCCTCTATTTTTTGTGTGTGTGTTATAGCCCATGGATCTGGCGCCTCACTGCACCCAAATATTTTTTCTCAAAAAACTTCTTGAGGAATTATGTAATGAGTTGGAGAACCACCATATATACTCACACCATTTTTTTCACGCCCATTTCCACATATACATGTCATTTTTAAGAATTAGCCAAATTTCTCTATTTTTGTGTGTTATACCTAAGGACCTGGCGCTCCAGAGCACCCATCATTTTGTTTTCTCAAAAAACATAATGAGGACCTCATTAATGAGTTGATGAACCACCATGTATACTCTTATCATTTTTTCACGCTTTTTTTGCATTCACAGGCCCTTGTTTAGGAATTATCCAAATTCGTCTATTTTTTGTGTGATATTGCCGAATGATATGGCGCACTGGAGCACCGATTATTTTCTTCTCAAAAATATTATGAGGACTTGCGTGATGAGTTGGGAAACTGCCACATATACTCACGTCATTTTTTAAATGCACATTTCCCCATTTACATGCTCTTTTTTAGAAATTACCCAAATTCATCAATTTTTCGTCTGTTATAGCCAATGGATCTAGGTCCCAAATCACCCAAAAAGTTTTATTCTAAAAACTTTATGAGGACTTCCATAATGAGTTAGGGAACAACCATGTATACTCCAACCATTTTTTTCACGCACATTTCCGTATTTAAAGGCCCTTTTTTAGGAATTACCCATATTCCTCTATTTTTTTGTGTTATAGCACATTCATCTGGCGCCCCAGAGCACTTAGTAATTTTTTTCCCAAAAAAGTTTATGAGGACCTCCGTAATGAGTTGCGGAACCACCACATATACTCACATAATTTTTTTCACCCCCATTTCAGCATTTCCATGCCCATTTTAGGAAAATTCCTCTATTTTTCATGTGTTATAGCCCATGGATCTGGCGCCTCGGAGCACCAATTTTTTTTTCTTAATTATTTTAATGAGAACATCCGTAATGAGTTGGGGGACCACCTAGTATACTCACAATATTTTTTTCACGCACATTACTGCATTTATAGACCCTTCTTTAGGAATTACCCAAATTCCTCTATTTATTGTGTGTTATAGCCCAATGATCTAGCGCCTCAGAAAACTTTATGAGAATTTTCGTAATGAGTTAGAGAACCACCACATATACTCACATCATTTTTCATGCCCATTTCCACATTTATAGGCAATTTTTAGGAATTACCAAAATTCCTCTATTTTTCGTGTGTTATAGTCCATTGATCTGGCACCCAGAGCACC